AACAAGGGGGCACAGCTTGATTTGACATTAGCACAATCCCACAGATCACCTTCCCAAAATGGATTTCGCCGCCGTCGTTTGTCCTCCCATCGTTCTTCCCTCGATGGTCTGAACTTTTGCGCAGTCGCAGAAACGGAAATGGAGGCCCAGCGAACGCGATGATCACTGCGACCGGGCAATAAATACACCATAGAAATGATGTACGGAAAACGATCGGAGCTGCAGCAGCTTCAGCAACAGCTCTCCAGCTCCCAGCGCCCAGCTCCCAGCTCCTCGGTTCTTGGCCAAATCGAGCATGGCCATCCCAGACATCCCAGCCAGCATCTCAACGGGGGTGCCTGCTTGACTGGCTGACTGGCTGAGTGGCTGAGTGGCTGGGCGATGGCGTTGCTGTGGCCTAGGAAAATTGGCACAGTGGTACCATCGCAATGCATAATGGATAGGCCCTTAGTTCAAATCGCTGCCTCAATGGGCAATTAGTTACGAGTAAAATGGAACTGCCACTGGAAATCTGACGGGTTCAATTCTATTAGTGCGCCATTTATTTTGCAAATACTATTTTTATAAATATTTCACAATATATAATATAATAATATTTCAGAATATATTTCATTTTTAATACAATTTTGTCTAGTTTTCGAACAATAAATAATTAATCCCAATCCTGTTTCATAAACCAACCAATTTGATTAAAAATATTTAATAATTTTATTTTACACTTTAAGTACTTAAGTACTGATTAAGTATGCTGCGCCATTCCGAGCAACCACGCCCACTGTTGCTGCCCAGGGTCTGGCAGCTGCCTAGATGCGGATGCTTGGGGCATCTCCTCCTGCCGCTGCCACCGATCCCGATTCTGATTCCGATCCCGCTCCTGCCGCTCGTTTGGCTACCACTTTGCGTCTGGAAACGCTGCCGCGGATTCCGATTCCGATTCCGCTGCTCCTGCTCCTGCTCGCGGAGCTGGCGCGGCATTATTAATGATAAATGTGGCTTGCACTCATGATAAATACAGAGAATCGTTGAAAGGTATAAATCAATAATAGAGAAGTTTGTTTGCAGTTAGGCAGGCGCAGGATGGAGCCGAGATTTTCAGCCAGCAGACAATGAGTTTGTCCGGGCATAATTCACCCGGGAGCAAAAGGTCTGCGTTTGGAAGCTGGCCAAGGGATCTGATTAGCGGATCGGCCCAGGAGGAGACCGCAACTGCAATTGGCTGTGGCTTTCGATGCGGCTGTCCCCCACTTGGCTGCTCCACAAAGTCATGTTCATTAATTGACTAATTAATCGACATTGGCTGTGTCGGCTGCAAACAAAAACTAAGACATTACAGCCAAGGCGATTATCAATAACAATTAGCCGACGCCTCTCCGCCAGCCTGTCAAATTTAACGTGGCCCCCCTTTCAACTTGGCTAGCTGCATTTGAATGCACAAGTTACGCATCCATCAACTGTCAATTGTTTGTCCTGGCTTGGCGCTCCGTCTTCGGAGACGGAGACGAAGACGAAGACGGAGGAACGCGCATTTCCCATAAATCATTCGAAAGGCTCTCTGGCGGGCAATGTATTGCGGCATCGTCAACCCAGAATCGAATCCCTGACTCGTCGACGACGTCTTCTGCCTGTCAGAGGAGTCGTGGTCGACAGTCGATGTGAAGGAGGAGCAGGAGGGCCTGGCCCACTCGGATGCCCATCCAAGGCATCGAACTTGTCTAGCCCATCTGAGTGTCGACCCTGTCCATCTTGAATTAGTTGAGCAGTCGCAAGACATTAGGTGGAGCGTATGGCTGAAGATGGCCAACTATATTAAGTTTGACTCTTAATGCATATTTTCCAAGCGTTTACTTCTCAAGGCATTGCTGAAGGCCAGATTGAATTTATTTACGATTTAAATCAGGAATTTCTATGGAGATTGTTAATTTAAGTGTTACTCTCCTACTAAACAATAAGTTGGGGCAATATTGGGCAAGAGTTATATTTGTTAGGGACTAGCGAAGTTAGTTATATAAACCGGTTTCAAATAGGGAAAAGTTTATGTCCTTTGACTTCAAACTCTGCATTCAAAGTGAATCATAAATTGCAAAAAGAGAACCTGCATTCCCATTTAAATGTCCATTTGCAGTTTTCACCCGCCATAATTTCTTTTGATAAAACACCTAATGATATAATGTTTAATTACTGATAAAAGCAACAACTAAGTGCTCCTTTCACCGGCCTTTGAAGCACGTTTTTTGTGCTGGCTAAGTTTTAAGTAGAGTCCGAGCCTCCACCCGCCTTTAACTTTGGCTGCACACGCATCGCCCCTCGTTTCCTCCTCGGAATTTTCCACGGACACTCACCTGACGGAGCCGGCAAACTTTCGCATAATAAAGCAGGTGCTTTTCCTCCCCCAAAAGGATCAGAGCAGCCCAGACCAGTCTGACCTCGCCGCCTGAGTCACCATCACCATCGCCATCGCCATCGCCATCTGCACGAACTGTTAATGTGCTGGCGATTTTAGTTATGGCCAGTGGCCACCGCCAGTTGGGAGTTGAGACTTGACCAGCTGGGCAGTGTCCTTTGTCCCGTTGATAATTTAAAGCCAACGACCTGGCCCTGGCCGGGATTAAGCCAACTGAATGGCAACTGTTTTTTGCGCAAATCACAGAGAAAATAAATTGAGGATTTCGCACTTACAGAATGCAATTTCGAGCTGGCTTTGCTTACCAATCTCGAATGCATGTTTCATGTAATTTTGTGACTTTAGGTTGTAACGAAAAGTATTCTAACGCAAAAGCGTGATGAAGGAAAGCATTGTAGCACTAACAGCCGCACAATTTTTTCTGCGTGTAGGATGGCACACTCCTGCCCATCTTCAGCCCACACCAATCTCTTCCGATTCCGCTCTTTTGGCCATCTGAATATTCATTTCAATTGTGCGAACTGCATCGGCGGCGAGGAGGAGCCTGCACCATTCCAGCGGCAACGGCTTATGGCACTTTCTTTGGGCCAACAGAGCGGATGGTGGTGCTCCTAGCTGCTGGTGGTGCCGCCCGGTGGGGGACGACGACCCACATAAATCATTCACAATTAGATGCGGACGCAACTGCGGCAGCGGCGGCGGCGGCGGCGGCGGCGGCGGCGGCGGCCTAAACACCTGACCGACTTGCTCCCGAAAAGACTCCGACTACGTCGGAGTTCCACTCGAGCGGGCAGCTCAAGAGTCGAGTGAGTTTCCGGGGGCATTGAGTGTGCCGATTCCATGGCGTTCCGCCCATGTTCCACGGACCTCGGCGGACCTGTTCCCAGTGCGTGCCGTTCAGTTTGTACTTGAGACCGGTTCGAAACGTTGCCAGTTGGAAAGTCAGCGGGCCGCGGACGACGATATTGCCCACAAAACAAAAAAAACAGAAACCAACCAGAACCAAAACCAAAAACAGCTCGCAACATTGGCAACACAGCAACCCCCACTAGCAACATTAGTTTCGTCTTGGAGCTGCAACTCAGGGTACCATTATATGATGGGATATGATACAGAAACGGCGATTGTTAAGTGATTTTGTGCGGTGATCAGTGTTCGGCAGTTGGCAGTTCGGCAAAATCCCCAAGAATGCCGCGTTAATTGAGCTGTACGTACAGCTGTAGTACAAATTTGCATAACCAGTGAGGAGGCATAAACAAATCTGGCCGCCGAGCGGAGGAGCGTCTTGGTTCACTGATTTAATGCCACAAACAGATTGCAGATTGTAGCCCGCAGCCGCGCCCCTGCGACTTGCAACTTCTTTGGCTGCAACTTGTGCAGCAGGCTACCAGGCAACCACCTTCACCTCCACCTCGAACTCCTTGCTGCATCTTGGACTCGGTTTGGTCTTGGTCAACCTGCTCGCAAGCTTGTTTCTGCGGAAGAGCTGCCGCCGGAGCGCCAGACCCGGCAAACAAAAAAAGAGAAATAAAAAATACAAAAACAAATCTAAAAAAAGTAGGGAAAAACACATACAGAACAACACGGCCGCCGTTGTCGTCGTCTTTGGAATTTTCTTTAAAAACAACGCGCTAAGATTTGCAACGCGGACCAGGCAAAAAGTGTAAAGGCAAGCAAATGCAGCCGAGGAATAAAAAAATTAGCGCATAGTGAAGTGTGTCCCAGTGTGTGTGGCGTCCATTGTACATGAGTGTGTGTTCTAACCGCCGAGTGTGCGAATAAGAAGGCTAGCTGCCCAACTCAGAGAGAAAAAGTTTGAAAAGTGTCAAGCGAGCGGCTCGGTGGCGGCCAATAACCCAGCGAGTGGCATGCAATTGCGGCCAGGCGACCCCGACGGGTTAATTACCGTTATCCTTGCAACACAGCAGCAACTGAAGCAACAACAGCGCGCCACACTAAGCGGCGCTCAAGTTGTGGATTACGTCTCCGCCGCGTTGTCGCCGTGTGAAAAGGACAACAGGAACGCAGCATCTGCAACATTGGCCATAAAAAGCGCATTCGCATTGAGCACACGGCAAAGTCAAGTGAACATTCCAATTGGCAACGTAGCGGGCTAATTGGCACACACACACACAAGCACATCGCTGCAAATCAGAACGAGGTGAGTTTCAAGAATTCTGCGAGTTTCTGCATTTCCTTCATCCAGCTGCCTGCCTTTTGAGCCATTGGCTTCTACAACTAAGCTCGTTAGCTGCCTCCGATTGCTGGAATGATTTATGAAGGAATGCATTGGCCAGACAGGCCAGAGAAATCTAAAGACCTATGGCTAACCAAAAAGACGGGTGTCCAAAACTATTTTGCCCGTGAAATCCAAAATTAGTTCTTCCTATAACAAATGCTTCGATATTATACGAGTAATTTCTACAATTTGTGATGGGTTACAACTAAAAAGCGTTTTAGAGCCTCTTTCTGTTGGTTGCATACAATAAAAAACTGCAATATGGTTGCAGAAATGTTACTTATGGATTGCTTATCTATGTATCTTGACTTGCATGTATGCGAAGTCAGAGAAAGAAAAGAACGTATGTGGATTCATTTTTCAATTCATTAAAATTTTATTTCCTTCCCCAATAACTGAATAAATGAAGGATGTTTCAATCGAAAGTATGCTCCCAGTCAGCGCCTTCAAAGTTCTGATGACTAGGTCCTTGAAATACCTCTGTACCATGCATAAAATCATTTATAGATGGTCTGGGCTCTTTTGTTACCGTTAGCACTTTGGAGATAACCACGTTTTCTTCACCGTCTTTAATTTGCTTACTTTCGCTTACAATGACGATATTATTTCCAAGACCTGGCAATGGTTGGAATGTCTTAGCCGGAAGTTTATCGATGACGGTCTCTTGAAAGAATCCAGGTCCTGGCACATAGGTATTTCCCTCCGCTTCCGTAAGGTCCGATGTGGAGGTGTTGACCATTATAGATCCATTCGGAAGGTTAATGCTATTAACATTGTTATCTTTCCCATTGGCTAAAACGCTGGCGCAAAGGATTGGCAATAGACCCCGTATCCAAACCATAGTCTCTAGAGATTCGTTTAATATAAGAGGAGAATCTGGGCTTATAATACATAACAATCGTTTGGACTAACAAAAATGTAATGCTTTGACATTCAGCTTGAAATCGGTTTGCTTCACATTTCGAATAAAATTAAATGGTTATACCTGTACTAGGGATGCTACATGCTTTATAAATGTTTATAAATTAGTGGATATTCCTATATCTACTAGAACAGTTTACACATCGAGGTAATATTTCCTCAACCTTAAGCCCATTCTTAAGCTTGAGCCGGACTTCGTCTGGAGCAAGTCAACGATTTTTCTTTTGATCTCTGGCTCGGCGCGACTTAAAAGCGAGCCCAGCTGTAGGCCAATTCCAGGGAAGTCCACTCCATCAGGCTCCACTCCATCCAGTTTTCCGAACTGCAGATACATTTGTGACGGGCCACTTGGAGCTGCTCGGCTTCGATTCTTGTATCTCTCAATTTCCATTAGACCCAGAGCGGGTTCTCTGTTTGGTTCTGAAGTGAATTTATGTCGAGCCGCTAAACAATTGATGCTGAAAAATGATGGCAATGACAAAGTGATTACGGCCAGCAATGGAAAGCGATGAGAGAGCTGCCAGCAATCGAAGTTCAAGTTGAAAAATAACATTTTCAATTTCCAATTGTGGGGCTACAGTGAGCAAGAGCAGTCTCGGCGGAAAAGTGAAAATGAAATGCTTTGCTAGCAGACAAAAGGTTCATCATTAATCATTTAGTTTGTTGTTTTTACAGCGCAACCGAAAGTATACCTATTTATACGTACATAATCGTCTTGACTGGGCCACTTCTTCTTCGTTTGGGGCACGTTCTCGATTTGAATCTTTTCCGTCCATATGCCGTCCCATTTTTTTGTTTTCATCCCGTGTTTGTTTCGTCTCTGAGTATTTGGCTTGGTAAATTGCTCGTCGTCATGCTTTTATGATTTGGTATATTATTTTTGAGAATTTGATGCGCTCAACTTGATAAGCCCAAAGCGCCCTGTGCTCTCCTCCTGCGCCCTCTTCCCCTCACCCTGCTCACCCACCTGCATTCCTGGCTTATTGTTGTGCCCCTCGGTGTACGTGTGTACCAGTGTGTAGGTGTGTCTGTCCACATTACCCAGCCCAAAGTTCAGAATTTTTTAACAGCACCCCGAGAACAGATTTTTTCGATCTCCCTCCAGAGTTGCAAAATGTTTAAAGTTTTAATAACAAGCCCCGAACGAAATTTGTTTAGGTGTGTCGTTGCTGTAATACTCTATATACGATTTATGCCAACAATTGAACCAGGAAAACAATAATATTACCACTGATACCTAGATTGGTATCTAGACAAAGTGTGTGACCCTCTCAAAGTGTACCAATATAAACATGGTATGGTTCCCCGATTTCATAACAAATTAAATTAAAGTCAATGAAAGCCCTAAGTAGAAACAACCCAGCTCCGTTTAGTGTATCTGCAAAGCCAACGTGCAAATAAACTTGGCCAACTTCACGAAATGCTTGCGCATCAAACTTTTATTTACCAGCTTCGAGCGAAGTACAGCGAAGCCCCCCGATAACGGCCCAGTGTGGCCCACCCTCGTTGCAATAATTCCATCTCGTTGTACAGTTTATTATATAATTTTTGTCCCTCTTTGACTTTTATCTTACGTTTATTATGCCCCATGGAATTTGCCGATTTCCAGACGCTGCCCAACAACCCGCTGGAGGTCAATGTCTCCGCCCAGCCACCAGCCACCACCCACTCACCCAGCACACGAGGACGAGGCAGCCATCCCAAGGATACATCCAGCCCGGTGGCATCTTTAAGAGTTGTAATAACTTTGGCCCAACTGTGGATGGGGGACTCGCGCTCAGATGGGACTCTGTCTGGGGGCAAAGTGCTAAAATGCCTTGACGCATTCTTTTGCACTTGTTCTTCATCTCGGGGAACAGGAGTAGAGGCCGCCCGGCCAGCAGCTGGCCAAATGTCGGGCTCACTCCCACTCCGGCTACACGAATACTTGAATCCTTGGCAGAAAACGTCGACTTGTAATAATCATAATCGTAAATTTGCAAAAAGCTGGCCGAGCCGTGTGTCCTGGCCGCGTTGGTCCTTGGGGCCCGCTTAGCATTTTGCGCGGATCCTAGGAGGCCGTTGCCAAAAGAGGCGTGTTCGTGGGCGTTGTGTTGTAGGCGTCATCATCATTATAATGGCCCTGTTTTATTTATTTTTTTCTGCTCCTCGCAGTGGGTGTGTGCCTTGTGCGTGGTTGAATTACTGGGGGGAAATTGGAGCAGGAAGAGGAGATGAAAGGCCCCATACTTCACAGCCTGTCCATCGTCTTGGCGAAAGGCATTTAAAAAGTTTTCTAAACTTCATTTTGAAGTTTTATTACCAGCGCAGAATAAAACGCCGCACAAATTCATCCTCCCTGCGCATTGCTATTCGCTCTTATTTTTCTGGCTTGTTGTTGAAATTTGCTCTATTAAAATTCCGGGGCGCAGCTTTGCCGGCACAGCGAGTTGGCCAGGATCTCGGTGCAGGGATGCCGCAAATGCCATCGTTCCAGGATCCACGCCCAGATCCATACTGTGGAAGGCCTGCATCTGGCGCAGCCATCAGTTATGCAGGTTCGTCCTGCATTTCGCCTCCTCGAACCCCTCTTCTTTTGCTCCTTTTTCCACTGCTTATCCTTGCCGGCGGCTTAGCAGCTTTGTTCGACTCATCCAAGCGGCCTGAGCATCCAACCAGCATCCATCCAGCTGCTGGAGCAAGCAGCAGCAGAGCCAGGACTCTGGGTAAGTCTTAGTTATGTGGAACTGGCATTTATCTTGCGATAATAGCAAGTTGTGCGATGCCAAGGCCCTGGCGGAATTTTCATGGATGTGCCAGGAGGTGTCTCAAGGGGTTTTGTGATTCACATTTTAAATAATGCCAAGGCAATAATTGTCAAAGCTCATCTACATGAAGGACTCTAATATTTCTTAGCAAAATATATCAGTTAGTGAACCCCCTTGGGGGCGCCACTGACTGTCTTCCTTATCCAGTGCAGCATATGCTGGCTGTGAATTTAACATTTTGCTAGCGCCAGACAAAGTATGCATTCAAACAAGTCACACACAAAATGTGGGCGGTTGCAGGTGGTGGGCGGGTCCCAAGGATGTTCCTCTAGAATCCACGGCCCCCATCTTATTTTCTTGCTCGTGCATTTTTATCCCTAACGAAAATGTTTATCTGTGTAACTGTAAGCAGGATAAACGCACGCTTACACATGGATACAGATACAGATACTTATACATATACAGTTACAGATACACAGACGCACAGACACACAGATACAGATGCTGGGGCAGAAACTTGAGCTACAACAAAAATAGATCAGTTTAAGTACAAATGGCCGCCAGTGCCACGCCCCCGCCTGGCTCTTTGCCCCCGCCCACCTCTTTCTTCCGCTTCCCTGCTCCATTCTTCTTGCTTCTTGAAATACTTTTGCGGTTTCTTTTACTTCCGTTCGCTCTTCCTTCGCTCCTTTCTTTCACACGCGCCGGCTTCCATTGTTAAACTTTAATGCCAAATGCGGTACGAACCTTCTGAGGGGCGGCAGACCCCTGAGGGGGCGTGGCTGTACAAATTTCACGAAAATTGTCCTCGCCACGGCGCACGGGGCATCCCTTTGGCAGGCTGCTCATTTACTTTGTTGTCCTTGCTGGTCCTCTGGATTCCATAGTTTTTTTTAGTTTTTAAGTCTGGTTGTTGGTTTTACGTAGATTTGGTTTTGCAGTTTTTGTTGCATTAGCTGGTCGTTGAGGCGTAAAGTTCAATGGCGGGTTAAATGGACTTAATACCGGAACTTTTTAGAACTTTTCCCCCGCCCCCGAAGGACCAAACTTCCAGCGTTGATCGTCCTGGGCAACAAAGTGAAAGTTTTTTTTGTTGAACAGCTTAAAAAGAGATTGGCTTTCCTGCACCCACCCCCCACTTCCCCACTTCTTTTTCTCGCTGGCCAAAGGATTTAGCAGTTTGTCCAAGTTTGTGTGTGTGGCCAAGTTCGATGGAAATGTGGAAAAGGAATTTTCGACAGTAACAATAAGTGATGGCCGAATGTGTTGGCTGAAGTTACTCCGCCTTCGAGGACAAAGTTTTTAGGTGACAAAGGAAAAAGTTGGAAATTATTTGAAATGCTTTTCAAATGGCAAATGGGCGAAATTGAAATGGAATATGCACATTTAAGTCGTAGTTATCTGAAACTATTTCCCAAATGCAATTTAAGAGTATGTGGCTTCAAATCTAAAAAGTTTTAACTCTGTTTTTTGTTTCTAAACTTTACTGCAAAAATCCATGAAGAGATTTACCCCTTCGAATTTCGGGGCGCGTGTCAAAAATTTCGTTTCCATCACTTGGAAAACCCTTCAGACGAAACTTGGCCAACTTTAGCGACGCTGAGGGTACTACGGAAAATTTGAAGCCAGTTATGTAAAAGAGGCCAGCAAACAAAACAGTCAAAAAAGAATAAGGGTGCCAAAGAGCAGGGGAAAAAACGGAGTCTCGTGTCAGCTTTTTATGCCTTTGGCCAAAGGACATGCTGGCAATTTTGTTACCCAAGAAGGGGCAAAAGGACGATTTTCCAGGGGGGTGGAGGGAAATCGTGGCGACAAGTTGTTAAGTAAGCAGCGACAACTCAAATAAAAGGCCAGCAGAATGGGATTCCAGATAGTTTCGCTGCACTCAAGTCGGGGAGGTGTAAAAAGGCCATCAAAAAGCGTTGGCTCTTTGGGAGATTTCTCTTGAAGTTTCTCGTTTGTTGGCCCGTTCTAAGGTAAACAAAAACTAAAAGTGAGAAAAGCAAGCGCCCCAGAGATTGAATAGATTGAGCAGAGATTGAGTCTCTTGCACAGCTCTGTATACAATATTAAAATTCGCTTATGCCCAGGACGTCAGACAGACGTCTTATCTTCTGGCCGAGTCTTACCTGCAGTTGTTTTAGGCGGCTTTTGTTTGGTTTCCGCTTCACACTTCCCAAGTGGCGGATCGCAGGGCCGGGGACTCCGTACTCCGGAC